TAAAAAAAAAAATCCTTTAAAACTAACCCTAACCGGAACAGAAATTGATGTCTGCCAATGTAAAAACATGGAAAGCAATTTTGTCTGTTATGGCTAAAACTGTATTTTTTTTATTTTGTAACCTAGGACTTGTCCCGGACGGAGATAGATACCACAAATGATTACATATTAACTCTGATAAGCTATGCAGGATGTGGTGCTTCTTCTCTTTTTTTGGGTATCACACTGGTGATCTATCTACTCCTTGAGTAAGTCTTTCTTGCGTTGTTTTTAATGTTTTAGCGGTAAGGAATTTGCAGTACCTAGGAGAATGTTCAGCAATACTTGGTGCTGTGATGCATAGGAAGCAGTAGTGAGATGTGAAAATAAAAATGGTGCTTTATTTTTACTTATGCCAATGGTGAAATGAGAGATTCAGATCCTCATGCTTTAAGACATGCACAGGTCAGAACTGTTCAGCTATTTCTTTGTTCCTAAATTTCTGATATTTCATTAACTTGCACGTGGATATGGGTAGGATATCACATCAGGAGTCTACAATATTCCCCGTATATAGATTGTAGGTAGGAGGATATTTTTTGGGTTAGAGAATGTACCCAGTACAACTTATTCAATGACAAAGCTGTTGTTTTTCTTTTTTAGAAAGCTGCGGAGAGACAACCCTTCCAAGATCCTGCTGATCCTTTGTGCTGCGCTGCTGATGGTGAACGTGGTCTTCCTGGTTAACCCGTGGCTGTCCTCGCTCGCCCAGCGCGGCGTCTGCGTCGCCGTGGCCGTGCTCCTCCACTACTTCCTCCTGGCCGCCTTCACCTGGATGTGCCTGGAGTCCGTCCACATGTACCTGGCTCTTGTCAAGGTTTTCAATGTCTACGTCCCAAAGTACATTCTGAAATTCTGCATTGCTGGCTGGGGTAAGGAAGCAAGTGTTTTTTCTTGACTTCTGCGCTCAGCATCTTCTCTAAAAATGTGTTTAAGGAAGTTTTCCCTGCCTGTCCTGTGCTTCACCTTACATTTATGGTTGAACATAACTTTTCAGGTGCAGCCACCTGCAGTGGCACTGTTGGTGACAGTCATTCTGAGCAGGAAAGCCAGAACTGAAAGATATTTGGCAAAGAGGCACCAAGTGGGAGGGAGACTAATCAAACACTGGCTGGAAAATGTCTGTCTGTATGAGATCTTAATGGAAAATGCTGCAGTCTGCTTTTTCTGCAAATCTTTTGCCACCCTGCTTTTCCTAAAAATCAGTTGGGTTTATTTTACCAGATTGGAGCCCTTCTGGAGATTTTTGAATACGCACAGACATTTTGCAAACACGGATATTTTTATGCCTACTCATCTGTAATTTACATAAATAAGGAAATTAATCCTGCTATGCCACACATTTCATTACACTGATTTCAGAAGAAGCTTTAGGGGCAGAGTTTGATCCCCAGGTGTACATGACTGCTGTAATTGTTTATCTGAGATCTGACAGCATTTCATATTCTCCATTTTATCTTTTTAATCTAAATATCTCTCTTTTCCCTTCCATGTTAGGAATACCAGCTATCGTAGTTGCTGTTGTACTCATTATAAATAAAGACTTCTATGGCAATGGAGCACTTTCTAAGAACAAACCATTCAGCTCTTTGTAAGTATAATATTTTAATATGGTCACCATAGTATCTTAAAGATAGAAGAAATAATGAAAGTTAATTATTTCTTTCTTGCTTTTCTCTTCCCTCCCATCTTAACCCTCTCCTTTCAGTGCTTCCATTTTCCTTTCTGGAAAATCCCTCTTGCTTTACATGACATTAACTCAGTATGATGCAACATTTGTAAAAACACCTGCATGTTCTAGACTTCCAGTAGAACTTGAAGGCAGAATAACTGTTCTACTATTTTGCACATTTGCACTTTTTTTAACCTCAGTTCATACTACTTTGTCTCTTCAGTCATTTAGAAGCCTCTAATCATTTTAAATTCTTCATTTTAATCACCTTAACCTCCTCTCTTTTCCAGTGGGAAAACACTGAGTTCTTTCATTCTTTCTTTAAAGCACTTTATTTCTCAGAATATTTCCACTTACTTTTTTTTTCTCCTGCTCTTTAGCACAGAATTCTGTACCATCTGATGGGCAACACAGAGCCATGACACCTCAGAGGGAAAATTGTTATCTCTCTCTAGCAAAAAGGCAGTAAAACTCACTAATTACTGAGTAAAAATTAACCAGTGTCTGTGTTTGTGGTCTATTATGAGTTAGGCTCTTGATTAGGTCATATTTAACTTGGTTTTCCTAAGGCTGTGTGTGTGTGTGTTATTAATTTGTGAAACAATGACCATTTTCATCTGAATTCAGCAAGAGTATTTAACTCTTGAGATACTGCATTTCTATAACATACATGAAAAAGGCAGCCAAGTGGAGAGACTTTGAATGTCCTTGTTGGGGGGAAGTAAAAGGCCTAAGGGGAATGGCCCTTCCTGGGTATCACTGGACCATGTACAAGAGTTATTTCAATAACGGGGCTTGATTAGTGTCAATGCTCACAGAGTTCCTTATTAAATGTGAACTTCCCTTTCTTGCAGTTGTTGGATTCAAGACAATATAGTGTTTTACATCTCTGTTGTGGCCTATTTCCTCTTAATGTTCTTGATGAATACAGTCATGTTCATCACCGTTCTTCTCCAAATCAACTCCATGAAATCTAAAGCACAAAAGAGATCCAGATCCTGGAAACGGAGTTTTCTCCACGACCTCAAAAGTGCTTTCAGCTTGATGTTCCTTCTGGGATTAACTTGGGGCTTTGTGTTTTTTGCCTGGGGAGCCGTGAGGATATTTTTCTTGTACCTCTTCAGTATTTTTAACACCTTGCAAGGTATTTTCTAGATAGAATACTGCTATAAGTGCAACAATGTAGGACTGTGGACTAGAAGTACATTTGTAATGCCATGTAATCAAGCATTGGGGAAAAGGAGAGCTTAAATGTATATTTTTGCATTATATTGTTTAGCTATTTTAATAGGAAAGTTCAATTGAAGTGGGATGATAGTGGTGGGAGTTAGCATTGCTGTGATGGAGTTTACCATTTAAGACATGAATTAATGCCTTTGAAACATGGGTCCCAGTAAAAGCATCTTTCCAGAACTGGGAGTTGGGACGATCCTTTTCACTCAAGTATAAAAATGATTGTTGAGAATCTGCAGTTACTTGCAATTATTCTTAAACTAAATCTGGGGAAAAAAAAAAAAAAGAAAAAGATCTTTTGATTGCATTTTTACATGCACAAAGGACCCTCAGTGCAATTCTGGGCCAATATGATGCTGGCTTTTGAGCCCCTCTCTGCCCCTACACAACATACCGAGGACAGAGCAGCCTACAAGGAGTTTAGAGAAGGGGCAGCAGTTTGGAGAATCAATCTCACAACGTTTGAATTTCTGCTCTTATTTCTGTAGGGGTCTTTATCTTTGTGTTTCACTGCCTCATGAAGGAAGACGTGGTGAAGCAGTGCCGGTTCCACTTCTGCTGCGGGAGGTTCCGGCTGAGTCATTATTCTGGTAAGCACTGCAGGTTCAGCCTCGCTCGTGTGCATTGCACCTACCAATCCTCTTCCCATCAGTCCTCAATCCACGGTGCACTGCTGAGAAACACACAGTTTTCCATTTGCACTGGGAGAATTCAGCAAGAGTGTTCCAAGGGGTGCTGTTCCGTGGGCATCTGCCAGCCCTATGCCATGTGGTGCCACAAGGGAATGCCGCAGGTTTCACTCCCTTTTGTACCTCCTGTCTCTGGTGTGGCGTTGCAGAAAGTAATATTGCTGGACTTGGTGCCTAAGGAGAAAGGGAGGACTGAATTGCTGGTAATTCTGTCCACCAGTACAAGGGGGATGGAGTTAGTGTAAAAATTAACAGCAGAAATTGTGCTGAGGTCCCCGTGGGTGGTGTGCTGTGCAGAGCCCCACTGCTTCAGGGCAGCTGCAATGATGGCACAAGAAGCAAGCACAAAACTTTCTCCTTCCTGGTCCTCGCTAGATGGAGATGTGGTTTTTTTGTTTGTTTGTATTTTTCCTGATGCACCAGGAAGAATTTCCTGCACACAGTTCTGCTTCTAGCCCTCCTGCTCTCTGATTTCAGACTGCAGTGCATCGGGTACAACAGTTAGATCTACACCAAGGCATTTAGATGGCAGGTCACCATCACAGCCTTTGAAGTATATAAATTCTAATGGAACAAGTTCAACTTCCAATGGTTCGGATTTCCTCCCCGGGACTTCTCTGGATAGTAATTTTAGAATTGGTAAGAAAACTGGTATGCGCCGGATCGAGTAAAACGCAGTGGTTCCATATGGTGATGATCAAATTCCAAACTTTCCCTAATTGTTTTCCTTAGCCCGTGTTCATTACAACCCAAATCCTGTAACTTCAACAGATGATGGGGCCAAACATCCTCGTTCACGAAGAATACTACCCATGGATACAGAGCTGCACTATCCACAGAAAGCAAGATTCTTCCATTGATAGCAAATTTGTTTTCCTTTGATTATCTAATGGTGGTCTCTTTTGTGGCATGTAGAAATAAACATTCATCTAAATAATTACTTTTAATGTACAGTTATCACTCTGCAGAGATTTTTTGTCCTTTGGCCGTGCTTTGCTGTGAATACAGCACTAGGTAAAGTCCATTCCACCAATCTGCAGCCCTGTGGGACGGAGCAGGACGGAACAGGACGGAACAGGACGCAGGACTGCCTGGCATGTGCTGGCCGGGGTGTCCAACCCTTCCTCATTTTGCTGCGACCCGATCACAGCTCCCAGGCAATATCAGTCCTTCGATTAGGAGCACGAGTTGGATAAGTTCCATAGTTGTGAAGGATGGATTTTGATCACAGTCAAAAGAAATGCACCCTCCTGAGGAAGGGGAGACCTCACTTTTCTCTCTTACTGAAGAGAGGCTTTTTATTTTTTTTTCCAAAAAATGTGTTGGAATCAGTACCTCTTCTACTCAACAAATCTTAGTTGCAGTTAGTTGCAGTTTTGAATGCATTTTTTTGATGATTGCTAATATAGTAAAATACTAACCTGTACCAATGTCAGAGAAGTAAAAAAAATATATATCTATGTAATGGAGCATTGTTTTAGGGATGGTTTGTGCAATAAAAGGTTCTTTCATTCTGTGAATGACTCCCACACAATAATTAGTACAAGATGAACATTTCAATGTACTCTAGCTACAGCCAGCCTACTTGAAATTAGACAGATAACCCTCAGGCCCTTGGCTTCATGGCAGAAATATTATCACAAAAATAGGCAAATGAGCTTCACCTAGTATGCACTGGTTTGTAAGTTGAAATTGCTTTCAATAAAGAAAATCTTTAGTACAAAATACAGTTCAACATGTCACATTCTTGACCTGTTGTCTTGTGTCTGTGTGTATTTTCTGTCTCTCGTGTGGTATCAATAACCCTCTGTGGCCTGACAGTCTCACCCAGGTTCTCTCTGTGCTGCCCTGGTTTGATCCTCACTCCTGTCCTCCTCTGTGCCCTTGAGCAACAGGTAATAGTCCTAAACTGTGCAAAGGGCTTGCGTTAGACATTAGGCAAGAATTTCTTATTTAAGGCCAAATAATGCTGGAATAAGTGGTCTAGGGAGCATATGGAAATGTTGTCAAGGTTGGCCAGAACTGATTTAGGTAGACTGGGTTTGCATTTTGCTTTTGGGCGAAGGATGGACTGGAAGGCTCATTGAAGGTCCTTCCAATTTATTTTCTGAGACTCAAATTTAAAAGGAAATGACAGCAAAGTAGATTCAGTGTGAGAACAACATGAGACTGGCCTAGTCTTCTGCGTACTGTAACTGTTTCATTTTACTCCTGATAAAAGGAAAAGTATATTTGGGTTTTTGAAAGTTGCTAAACACCCTCATAACATGTTTAAATGATTAGGAAGAAAAAGGATTTGGATAAAAGCTGGAAAAGCACAAAGAAAAGTGCTGGAATATTTACGCCATGTCAGGCTGCTGAGGAATGATGGGAGATGCTGGAGGATCATAGTCTGTTTCTGCTCTTGGAGGGGTGACGGTGGGAAGAGGAGCAACCTGCGTGGCACGTGGATACGTCAGTTCTCAATTCTTGCTGTTGATTATTTTGTTTCTATTTGAAAAGCAGAATCTGGAAGTAAATTTTTAAAAACCTGTCAGCTTGCTTATGCAAAATGCAAAGCCCTGTTTGTTCTAGGAGGGCGGTTAGCTCGCTTCCACTATCCATCATATGTCTAATGGCTTTTCCAGCTAAACAGTGTATCATTTATTTTTCAACCATGGCATTGTTTAGGTTGTCAGCTGGAATGAAGATGTGTAATTTTCTTTGGGCTGAAATAATGTCTCCTGTGCTGGCACCGGTACATTTCTCTTCTCCAATAGATCCGTGCTGACATCCTGTCACAGAATTGTGCATTGATGATTTTCACAGGGTGAGGACATTCACAAAGACAAATCTAATAAAAAAAATTGCTCTGCACTTGTGATTCACATCCTAACAATTTTAAGTGGCAGGAAGAGTTTCACTGTTCTCCTTGGAAGGTGACCTCAAGGCTTGTGGTGTTTTTACCAATACTACCAAAAACTCAGTAAAGAGAATTCGATTGTATCAATTGACTTTTGTTTGCTCTCTGAGAAACAGCAGCCTAAAAAGTCTTTTTATTTCTAGGTCATTTCCAGTTCTTCCTTATTTATAGCCATACATACACCAGAAAACACTTGCTCTATTTTGAACTGGTGAAAGCAGAATTTCTGAAAGTATATTTATATCTATGAAGACAATTATTTGATGTCAAATCCCAGCAGGTTGTTAACAACTGCTTACATAACGCTTTCGGGCAAAGGAAATAAAAGATGAGAGTAAAATGGAGTCATTGCAGCAGCTGTTGTGAATTAGAAAGACCCAATGAACCCAACCACTTCCGTCCTGTTGTTCGGACCCTACAGAACCCCCCTCGCTCTGCGCCGGGTCGGTCGGTGCCGGCAGGTCCCAGGTCTGGGTCGCTCACACACAAGTCTAGGGAGGTTCTACTAAACAGACTGACAGCCGTTTAACAGCCACGTGTTAGATAAATATCGCCTTGCATGACAGCTGTAGGGGAGTAAAGCTTGTTTAAATTGCCTGCTTCAAGTTTATGAATATACAGCAATGGCTACACAGGCAGGTAGATAGACGTATTTTTTTTCCCTATATTTAGAAGGTAGTTATTATTGAGACACCGAAAGAAATGTCATTCTGGGAAACTATTTGAGATTAAAAATCAAAATAGTGGCTGGGGAAAATAAGTACCGCAAAAGATTGTTGTTTAATCTTAATGCATGATACTCTATGCTTTTAAGTATCAGAAAGTATTAGCATATAATGGCACTCTAAAGGTTCTAAATTAAGTATATCATTGAGAGTGTCACAGATGTCCAGAAGAAATATTCTTGCTCTATGATTTCATTTGCTTCTCATTCCTACAACAAGAGAAATTCAAACATACGTTTTAATACTCGTTTTTCTCTCTTTTCTGGGAAATGGCAGCAGTATTTCATTCACGACCATACTGAAACTGGCACAGAAAACTCTTGGAAAAGGAGGCTGGAACAGGATGCTGGAATGGAGAAACAGTAACACTAGCTCTTTGAATAATCTGGGTTTAGACTTGTAATAAAATCAGCATTTTCTTTGCCAGTTTTTAGCCAACAGGACAGCGGCCTCATTGCACCCCTAGTCACTGCATCCGAGAGCTCATCAGGAGCGGCCTTCGGCCTCATCCTCACGACACCACCGGAGTGGGACAGCGTTGTCCAGGGTGACACCGGACGAGCTGGTGAGTCTTATAAAGCAAGATAAATTCAATAATAACACTGTATTTTTCTCATAAACAAATAGTCTTTTTAAGTGGTTAGTCTCTGCTATGAATGTCATACTGCTGAGTTAATCACTGCTAGAGCATACTCTCCTATTTAATAGCTCAATAGTTTTTGTCTCCAAGTGCAGAGGACATTGGCTAATGGTAAGTAAAGGAAAATACAGGATAGAGAAGATATTCCCATTATTTTTTAGTAGTGAATAACATCATATTGGCAGCCACCAAAACCAAGATGCTGTGTTCACAACTAAAGAGATGCAGCACAGGGCAGTGTTTATGCAATCTTCCTCATCGTCTCCTGATATTCTGCAGCTTGGAAATGAAGGCCCAAAAAGATGGGAACATATCCTTATCTCTGCTTAGAGGAACTCAGATGTATCACATGGAAATGACTCATTTCAATTCATGCAGGAAGACAGATGCAGAACTAGAAACAGCTCTAGATTTTACAGTAATTTCCTCTAAATGTGGACTGCTGTCTGTGACAGCAGAGCTCACAGTGGATGTGCGTTCACTTTTTGGCCTTTCCCATTTAATATCAGCATGTCTGAATACTAGAAAACAGACTGGAAACAGCCACATAGGTCTCCCAACCCACCACGTAACAATCGGATGGTATTTCATTCTCACTACTGTCCTGAGTTATGATACGGTCTGTCCTTGCATTTTACTATTTTTGTCATTCTATTAGTATTTTCCTTTTAAACAGAAGACACCCAAACTTCAGCTCAGGTGGCCAATGACAGTTACAGACTATGCAGTTACAGTCTGATAATCTGTCTCTATAGCCCCTATTCCTTTGCCCAGCACAAAGGTGAAGTGTTCAAAAAGAGTTCAGGTCATCAGAGTATTGCTAATGCTCTTCACTTAGGAGAGACATAATTCTTCCAAGAAAGAAATAGCAAAAAGTAGTGCATACTGTAAAGAGAATAAATTAAAATCCAGAGTTTTGATCTAAGTATAACAGAGGTGCAGAGAAAAGGGACAAAAATACACATGTCCTCCTACCTCCTTTATTTTTATGCCAATAGCAAAGCCAATTCAGAAAACACTTGCAAGAAAAGGCATTTTGGGTAACTTAATAATGGGCTACAGCTGCAGACCCCAGCTTAATCCTGGGAATTGTTAAAGGGCTCCAGGATAGAACTTCCTGAGGGAGAAGGGGAAAACCTTCCTTCACCTTTATGTCAAAAGAAGATGAGCTCCAAGAAAGGCTGTTCCCTCTCGGTGGATTTGTTTGCCCTGGAAGGAAGGATTCCCATTGACCTGGGTGGACTCCTAAACTTGAGGTAAGTTCCCTAGCTCGAGGAGAGGAAGGTGCCTGTGGCTGCCCCGCTGCAGCGTCCTGCTCTATCACAAGGTCTAACGGGGTGATGAAAGCTGCTCTTGGGCTTTCTGGAAAACGCGGGGTGAGAAGCTCTGCTCTGCACGAGCCTCTGGTGCCACCGGCAGCCGCCCGCTCAGACGGGCATCTACCTTGGTCCGTGGGTGGCCTCGACCTCCCTGCTCAGGGCGTTTCCTCAATCCTCTTCACAACTCGCTGTGCTGCATCAGCTCCATCCTTGCAGCGCTGCAGCTGGGACTCGTATCTCTTGGATGGTGCATGCACGAGGCACCCGAGGACGCTGCCGTCATCCAGCCTGCCAGGGCTTCCGACAGGCAAACGGATGGCAGAGACAACCCTAAAAGAGGTCCTGATCTTTTAAAGAGGGGATGTGGCCACACAGAGCTTACCAAAACCCGAGACTGGCTCCATGTATTAGGAGAGACGAGCTGTTCAGTATTGCTCTGCTGTTAGCAACCTAGGAACATAAACGTCAGTGCCCGCAGTGGAGAGACGGAAAGATGCATCAGCCAGCAATAAACAGATGGCAGGATTGTAAGAGAGACAGTTAAAGCGATGGCCGAAAGGGAGTCTGAGATATAACATAGAAATGAACTAAGTAGCTTTACGTATAAGCAATGTCAATAAGGACTTAAGAAAGTGAGTTAAAATAATCCTAAAACAAAGAACAGACCAGCTAATATAGCTGTAGTTTACTTCATGTCAATTCTGTATTTTTACTACCTAGGCTATTAAGAATTTGACATATTTGTATAAATAACAATCAATTCTGCATGACCATTGCATACTGAAATAATCAAAGTGTGTTACACAAAGTAGTCACCATTTTGGAAATTTATTTTTTTTTAATAGGAGTTAAAATTCTGACTTTTCTCCACGTTTTGGTTTCATGCAGAGCAAATGGTTCTGAAAGAAATTTTTTGAGTGGGTGACACTACACAGTACTTAGAAATGACTTAAAACAGCAATCACACTGCATTAAAACAGCATATATGCATTAAAAATATATCACAAAATTATATACTCCCAAGTGTTTTATTCGTATTTTTGTGTGAATACAAATTCGCACAAATATTCAGTTCAAAAGAAGCATCCATTTTCAGTAAAACACAGTACTTAAGACAATAGTCAGAATTACCCAAATTGCTTTTCTTGTAACACTAGAAGACAGAGTACTAAAATAACACCTTAGAGTTGTTTACTGTTTAAAACGATGATGTTATTTTCTTCCTTTTCAGTTGGATTTTCACAACTGAAAGCCATGGGAATCTATGTTAAAAAATGTGGTATATTTTCTCCTACCTGGTTTTGGAAATCTACTCCATGAAACCAAAAACAGCAAAAAAATGTTGATCAGAAACACTAAAATCCTACCAGCATAAACAAATTGCATATTTGATGCTTAGTATCTGTCCTTCCATTTTCCTGGATTTCTTTTAGACTACAGTGTGATTTTGTGTGCTTTTTCAAAACAATATTTTTCACCTCTTAACAATAAGCTAAGACAGTATTTTATGCTCTATAATAAGAGAGAACTTGGCTGACTTACTGAAGCCTTCTGTATTACAAGCATTTAATGATGCATCTGTGAGAAATGAAGGAGCTTCTCTCTGCCAGATTCCAAAGGGGCAGAAAGCTGAGAAAAAATATAATTTTCTAGTAGAAAGAAAAAAATAAGTAGAATTTTGTACTACTGTGAGTTGAGTTAGAAGTATGTCCTGTGCCACGTTAGAGAGCAAGGGTGGTAGAGACGTGTCTGTGTGTCCAGGTAATGCAGGTTTCTAAAGTGTGAAACATCAGACTGAACATTTATGTTCACATGTTGAGACTCAGATCAGGAGCAAACAACGTTTTAAGCCCTTGCCCTTCTCCTGGGCTGTTTTCCTCTGATGTCACCTCTTCCTTCGTCCCCCTAATCCAAGTGTTGGGAGCATCTCATAGGCCAAACGTCTCTGCTCTTCCGGGCTGTCCCTTTCACAGAGGGATCCAGGTCGACTCCTCTATCCTGCCGTACAAAAAGATCAATTGGCAGAATAACTAAATCTGAGGTTTCATATTGGCAGGCCAAATCTCTCTGAAAAGCTCTGGTGTTGTGGGATGTGAGACCTTCGCTGCCAGCTGCACTTCACTGCATCAGCCAACCCTGAATGCAATTCGAAGCAAGTAACGAGTTTATTTCAGCTGAATTCCAGTTGCACCTAAACACATAGCTGATGTTTCATTCAGTTTGCCACCCCTGAGTATTCAGCACGTGGTAGATAGCAATTAGTTCTAATGCTTGGTGATACCCTGCTCCTCCTTTACAGGAAATCTAAACATTTTATGTAACTACCTGACATTAAGCTGTCACAATCTACTACATCTGCAGAACGCTATATTGAATATAATGTACAGTACTATGACAGTGTGGGTGGACAACATAATCGGGCATCCTCAAAGGCACCTAAATCTGTGAGCAACCTACACGCTGCGCCTGTATTAAAGGACATATTGTGGTTGATCGTGACAAGAACTTCTCTTCTAATGGAACTCAATAAAAAGGTAATCAGAATTTTTAATCCATGCATCTTTTTTGTATCAGTAACTCCCTCTTCTACGAGGCCACAGAGTAGACTGTTCTTTGTATCTCCATCTCCATAGTTGTGCTTGCAAAGACTTGGATTGGGAGAGGGTAGATTAGACTTTCAAGAATAGCACTTAGAAGAGGGTTTTTAACAATTGAAATAGCTTGATTTCCATTTGTGTGTTTGCGTGTGCGTGTGCATGCAGATAAAACAACCAGCCTTGGCTATGGGATCGCTCTGATGTTCTGAGCAGACTGTGCTCTCCACTCTAAAGTCACAGCGTGCTGAAAAGAAGTACCCCAGCTATGGAAAACCATTTTCAAGGCACAAAACTCAGCCCTTTGACATCGCTCCCTCTTCCATTACTTAGAAATAACGGAAGCTTCCTTAAGCTTAAGGAAACTTCTCTCCTTAGGGAAGATTAGCTTCCTTACCCTCAGGCAGTTTGACTCAGGTAAATCATATTCCTCATGCCTTGGCTTACAATGACATTAAACATGGGTTCAGCAAACAGCTGAGTTTCTGATTTCACTATTGACTTGTCTAAAGATCAGAAAAGCCATAGTGCAAATGTGTGATTGAGATAGCATCACAAAAGGTTGCTTTCCTCTGATGAGATTTAGTTCATTAATTGTACCATTCAAAGATGATAAATATCTGGCTTATTGCAGTGAAATAGGCTTCTGTACAGCAAGTATCTACTGACCTGTTCAAAATTCAGTTGAAGTTGCGGCTTTGATGTCAATGGGACTGTTTCAAGGGAGAAGCCTAGCATTCCTGTAGGTGTTTGCTAGCAGGATTATGGATATAAATTTCCATCTTAAATTGCCTTGTGAAAGATTGCTGAATTACAGTGATAGAAATCAGAGCACAGACATGCACAGACTGTCTCTATGGCTTTTTTTCAATGAATGCTATGTATATTTTGAGATATTTTTATCTAACATTAAGGCATATTGTAGACATTTATGTGAAATTAGAAGATTCTATGTTTATCTGTATTACAGAGCAAACTGTTTCAGGTTTTCATTCAGATTCTTTTTAGAATATTTTGGAAAATACTAAGGAACATTTTCTAGATAATATACAAACCCTAATACTATAGTAATTATAATACGGTATTTATTCACAAGATTCCTCTATGAAAAAAAAAAAAGGTAATTTCAGCTAATACCCTTAAAGAAATCCCTTTTCTCTTCTTTTCCTCCTCCTTCTCTTCTCCTGTAGCTGAAAAGCCAATAAAAAAATTCTCCACCTCCCACACAGTTGAGAACTAGATCTGTGTGCATTTATCCCAAGCATGTTTTGAGACCCAGAAGAGGGTGAAAGTAGTTAATGTGCAACAAGAATCTTAATTTCAGACACCTTTATACTGACCTTTCTGATATACTGGAAGCTACTCATTAAACAAGTTTCGATCAATTTAAGTCCAGCCTGAGGAGGAATGTCTCGAGTCTACTTGCATTCATCTAATCAGACTTCATGTGCATCCACAAATGGCACAGAACTGAAATCGATCACTGATAATGAAACCACAAATGAAAAATGGACTGAAGACTCCTTTCCAGGATTAGAAATACTGTGCACAATTTATGTTACATATGCCGTGATCATTTCGGTGGGGCTCCTTGGAAATGCTATCCTCATCAAAGTCTTTTTCAAGATTAAATCAATGCAGACCGTTCCAAATATCTTCATCACCAGCCTGGCGTTTGGAGACCTGCTCCTTTTGCTCACGTGCGTGCCCGTGGACGCGACGCGGTACCTCGTGGATACCTGGCTCTTCGGCAGGATCGGGTGCAAGCTGCTCTCCTTCATCCAGCTCACCTCGGTTGGGGTGTCCGTGTTCACACTGACCGTCCTCAGCGCTGACAGGTGGGTCCAGCACGGCGGGTTTGCCAGGGAATATCTCAGGTATGAAGTTAGAAAAGCATAAAAGAGTAGAAATTGTCATTCTGAATAATAATACATGGCACGTTGAAATAACTAGCCTCCTTCTTCCATTTAATTTAATAATGTATATTCTTGTAAAAATTACAGAAGTTCTTTTTAATGAAGTGAGAAAGACTCTTTGTAAGTATTCTGACCTTTTATTAGTTTGAAGTGCAGTGTATTTTTTTCTGTTTTACACAGAAAAGGTAAATGGCTTAAGGCTGGGAAAAGACAGTATATTGGTGCTATCTAGTGGTGCACTAAAGTAGTCAATGAAGATGAGAAATAGATCTGTGAAAATGACTGGGGAAAGTGGAAATCCTTCCTCTTATGCACTTCAATCAGTGTCTAAGATCTGAGAACTAAAATAACTGATATGGGTAAAAACTGACAGTAAAGACATAAGAGACTGTGGAACAAGTTACTTTCAAGACTTGCAGTTTGATAGTTACCAGAATACTCTAATTTTCAGCTTGACAAGTATTTAGTGTGATATAGATTTAATGTGGCATCTAATTTGAGTATTTTCTCTGCTCATATTTATAGCACTTATATCTTTCCCTGAGCATTGTTAACATAGATGCTGTGAAATTAAACTCAGGCTACATGTTAGTGCGGATCAGAGCTCCAATCTGACTGTTTTCAGAAGGAGTTGCTGAATAATCTGTTTTTATTCTGTCGCCTTTCTGAATAAATAATAGTAATATGAGATTTCAGCATGAGCATGTGAAGAAGCAGAAAAACCCAAAATGAATTCTAGCGTTAAGAAAGAAGTAATTGTCATCTCATATGGAAGAAGTAATTGTCATCTCATATGGCAGCAAGCACGGATGCTATGTAATAAATAGGTCGTGTATCCAGACTTTAGATACCAAGCACTGCTACTGTTAAGTGAAAAATCAACCAGAGTAGGACTGGCCAAACAGGGTGAGATCAAGGGGGCATCTAGGCCAATACCCACCCTCCAGAAGCGGTTTATAAGTTGGTAAGGTTTATAAGTGGTTTATAAGTGTATAAGTCTGTTGCGAGCAGATTTATAAAGGCAAGGAAAGATACGTCGAGAAAAACAAGAACGCAGCAACTATCCAAGACTCCAGCTCCTGTCCCCTGTGCCGCCAGGGACCACCTGGGCTGGTGCTTGTCCCAGTGACCTCAGCGTGCTTCTCCCTAGAGCCTTGCACAGCTTGTTCAGCAATGCATTTCAGGGTTTAATGCCTGTTGCATAAGGAACTGCTTCTTGTTTATGGTTTATTTTATTTTGACTCTTATTGAATATTAAGTTGATATTTTCACTGAATTATCTATTATTTCTCAAAGATCCTATTCCTGCAGGAGGTCAGTTAAGAATCAATCATTCAGACACTTCTGTATTTGATTCTTGACACAGTTCCCATGCTGCAGCATCAGGGCTCGAATCAGCATTAGCCCATGCTTTGAAATATGAATGAATACCCAAGCAGTGTTTTGAGTGAGACTGCACTCAGCTAGCATCCTAAGAACATGGGAGCAAAGGAGAATGTGTATGCTGGAATTTGATGTGTTTATAAACTCGTTAACCAGTTTCATCTCTTTACAAGTCTTGCATGTTAATTTCTTCATTAACTTTCTACGTAGCTCCATGAATGTAGGACAGGTGATCCCTTTACTGATTCTATTCCAAAAAAAGGGCAATGCACCTCTACTTAGAAAGGCTTCCAGGACAAGTTCTGCCAGGCAATTCATCATTTTCACACAATTCAAATACATGATTACAATTATTTTTTGTATTTCAATCTTTATTATGAAAGAGCTTATAACCGTATTGATCTCCAGCTGAACCTCCCTTTAGCAGGAGGGGGATGGCTCCATTCTCAGGCTCACCCCCCGGGCTCGCATTGCTGCCGCAGCCCGTGACGCTCTCACGTTGGTTGTTTTCAGGTACAGAGCCATCGTGAAGCCCTTGGAACTGCAGACTTCGGACGCGCTCCTCAAGACCTGCTGCAAGGCTGGCTGTGTCTGGATCGTCTCCATGATACTTGCAATCCCGGAGGCTGTTTTTTCGGATCTATATTCTTTTAGTAATCCCGAGAAAAACGTAACTTTTGAAGCGTGTGCCCCCTATCCTGTGTCCGAGAAGATACTGCAGGAAGCTCACTCCCTGGTTTGCTTCTTAGTGTTCTATATTGTGCCATTAGCCATCATTTCTGTCTATTATTTTCTTATTGCCAGAACATTATACAAAAGTACCTTCAACATGCCAGCAGAGGAGCCGGGTCATGCCCGTAAGCAGGTAAGCTATGGTCAAGTGCTAGCGTCCCATTTTCCAAAACGTGTCATGCTGATTGACATTTTAGTTTTTGTGTGCAAAACCTTTACTTCATAATATGTGCAAATAGGCAGCTAAAATCCTCCATAAACTCAGTGCATATTAGCAATACAAATTCAGCTATGCACTTAAGCACATGCTTATGAATCACTAGCTTAACTGTGGGTGTACATGAGAGAAATGGCTTTTCTGTTTTGTGTATTAACTTTATTATGACCCCATTAAACTCTGAAGTTATAACACTGAACTGTAAACATAAAGACCTCATTGGCATTAGGATTAAAAGGTGTGACATTAATAAACATTAGCTGAGCTGACACATTAACCATTGTCCTTTCAAATCCAAGTCTAACTGAGCTTCCCGTGTGATTTATAAGGGAAAGGAAACATGTTCTACACTGCAAATACTTTGTTGAAAGGAAAAAAAAGAAAGAAAGAAAGAAACTGATTCACCTTTTTGTTTTGTAACTATTTTGCTTTTTTGGTCACTAACGCATTTAGACTGATTAATGTTAACAGTCTTGGAGCCCTTTAGAAATCAGCACCAGTCACCTAAACATGTGTTACTAATTGCTATTAATACCAGATATGCCTTATTTTCTCCTAGATTGAATCCCGCAAGAGAGTTGCAAAAACAGTGCTGGTGCTAGTTGCTTTGTTTGCCTTTTGCTGGCTGCCTAACCACATCCTCTACCTGTATCGCTCTTTCACGTACCACTCCTCTGTAGACGCTTCTGCCTTTCACCTGGTAGCCACCATCTTCTCCCGCGCCTTGGCCTTCAGCAACTCGTGCGTCAACCCCTTCGCTCTCTACTGGCTCAGCAAGAGCTTCCGGCAGCACTTCAAGAAGCAGCTGTGGGGCTGCCGGGCCCCGCTCCGCGCGCGGCCGCCCCGCGCGCCCCAGGGCCGCTCTCCGGCGCGGGCGCTGTCGGGCACGGGCAGCGCGCACGGCTCCGACATCAGCGTCACGCTGCTCACGGACTGCAGCATCACCAAGGAGGAGGAGAGCGTCTAGGCCGGCTGCGGGGAGGAGGACCCGGGAACGGGCGTCTCTAACCGCGTTGCTGCGTCCGGGTCCCGGGAAGGGCTGCCTTTGCTTGCACTGGCTGTGCAGTTTCCACGGGAGTTCCTAATGCTTAACATTATTCAACAAGAAAAAGATATCAAACTCTGTGGGAGAAGAAGCCAAAGCAGCTGAACATTTCAGTGTCAGCTCCGTCAAAGGAAATACTCCAGTTCCACAACGAATGTGGATCCTTCACTGAAATTCCTGTACTGGGCAGGAGGAGTCAGCAGAGCTGCAAGGGAATTTCTGCACTGGTTGAGGGAATCGTTGTTTTATTCCTGGCAACTTGTTCTTTGACTTGTGACTGAGAACTCTCTTTTGTCAAGTATTTGCATCTAAAGCAAGCAAGCAAAAACATGTTTCTTCATAATACAGTAAATTAGGCAGGTTTTTAATTTCTTTTCTTGTCCCACATGTTAAAAACCCAGTGAATACTTTGGAAAGTAAACTAAAATGAAACAAAACTAAAGTCAGTAGTAAGGAGCAGGAAAAAAAAGCAGTATTATAGCCCAGCTCTGCACTACCCATTGCTTCAAAAATCCAGGTAACAACGGCCTGCAAGAAGGGATGCCCTGATTCCCTCCTCGTTTCCTAAGGAAGTCAAGGGAATGAGCAGGGGATCACACCTCCTAAAGAGGGCAAGCACATTTAGCCACATTTGTAAAATCTTTTGAAACCAATGGATAAAACAGCTCAACAGAGCAGTGCTCTTTACTGTTACTCGACGACATCAAGAAACCAGTGTGGATTGTGAGTGCTCTGGTTTGGATTAGCAAGAGCCCTTGGAAGCAAACTGCTCAAATACCTGCTCCTGCCTCGCTCTGGCTTGGCTCCAAGAGGCACCTGTGGCACATACCTGGATTCTGGTTTCCAAGAGAAAACTGTGTGTTTGGTCCACGGAATGAGATCGGAGATGCTTTAGTCTAAGTGAGGCTCCAAAGAGCGCAGAGAGCGGGTGTCAGACCAGGCATTTCTCTCCACAGATCCAGTCCCAGCGCCGTGTACTGCTCGGTAACGTGCTCATGAGCGCTCTGACTATTTTCAAGCATGCAAGGAGAGCTGGCTTTCTGTATTGTACTAATTTTTGAAGTTATTAAAGTACTATCTCTTTTTAATATGATATATGGATTATACAAGATTGTGGTGTCAGTAATAGAAGCCTAAATTTTATTTCCTATTTAAAAGGTAGATGCAGCCAAGCCCCAAATCCACCCATCCATTCATGCACCATCATTTGAGTTCAGCATGAGATAAAACTCATAGAAAAACACATTTGCAGCCTCTCTCTTTTGACGGCCTTAATCAGAACAATAAAACCAAACCATAGATCCCCAGGGCATTCAATACAACCTGTGCAGCTGTTTTAAATTAATGTAATCCGTCTTGGCCTTATCTTAGATTCTTCATTTACATGATGCAAGATTCTAAGTACTAATTTTCAATGGAATCCTGATTCCCCCTTTTATTTTACCAGTTATACAACAGGATGGGACCATTGAAATAAATGGAAATATAACAGCACAGAAATGCAAGTCTATCTCAAGGCTGTTTCCAGAGACCTCTTTTTACTCTCTCTGTGCTCATGCAACACTGCTAAAGCCTTTGGAAAATCTTTGTCTCTGCCAGACAGAGCCAGACTTCCTACGGATGCCCCCCGAAATGCCCTGGCTATATCTCATAACACTCCTTAAAAATCACTGCTTCCAAACGCACCATTTTCCTTGCTGTGCACGCAGCTACTTTTGGCTTATGTACCCTTTGTTCTAACTGGATTGTTTACCTTTTTGCTATTCCACACTTTTATAAAATGGATGTTTTTGCTAGATACTGCTTATGTTTTGGTTAAAGACTGGAAATATTTGATGCCATATTTTAACCATTCCATATTTTTACAGTTACATCATTTCAAGCTATCATGATGATGTACTAGAGTGATCTATTGGTCAATATATATTTATAATCGAAATGATCTGATATTCATTCCCTCTATTCACCTAATACAACTATCCATAAAATGTTTCCACATTACCATAGTTGGATTTAGGGGAAAAGCTTTATTTCCTTTGCAATCTTTTCTCAATGTTTCTTGGGGGAAAAAAATGGCTCTTTCAGCCCTCGGTAATAGAAATACAATTCAATAATAATATAAGGGAACAATATCTATTTACAGAAATGCTGAGTGTGATTTAGAAAAGAAATGGCATGAGAAATTAGGGTCTTACTATTTATATCCACCCTGAAAGAAAATGCAGAAGAAAGGTGCAAGATATAGAAAGGAAAACTCTATCAAAGGACTTGTCCCTGTGGAGTCTTTCTGGGTGAGTAAATACAATTTTTAGGGTGTATCCTTTTTTAATTTTGTGAACGAGATGTGCACACGAACAGCTTTAATACATACAAGTGTAAGAATTAATGTTCTTGTTAGCAACTGGTTTAGTAGTAATACTCTAATTTGTTTCACACTATAAGATACCATCTTAGTTTGGAAAAAATATTTTCCATATATATTTTTAAAAAATCATGTCAAAGCATGTCTATAGTGTAACAAACTGCATCTCTAGCAAATGTCACCGAATATTAAAGTTAGTTCATGAAATTTTGAAGCTCAGTTTTCTGTTTTCATAGAAAGTATTTTACGTTGCTGGCAGCCATGTGTTTCTTATAAGGATAATTCACTTAAAGAACAACCCGAGTTTCACACGGCTGCAGCAGTGGGACTGGCTCTCCCACTGCTCATCTCCTCAGTGAACTGGATTGTGGAGTTTCCTTTGTCAACATGGGAAATGGTATTTGGGTTTTGGCTCCTCTAGATCTGGTCCTGTCTTTTCTCACACAGATAAGACGTCTTCATTCTCACTAGAGACTGAGAACAAAAAGCGTCTACAGGCTCCAGCCCCATGGAAAGCACAAACAGGCGGAATCTCCCTGTCATCCATCAACATTCACTGCCTGCACTTCTAATATCACAAAGAATTTTCTAAAAGAAAAAAAAAAGTGAACTGTGACACTTCATCTAATCTTAGCTATTGAATTCCTGATCCTACTTCAGTAGGTATCAAAATATCTGTTCCTTGCTAATACCAAGTTTTCAATACATATAGTAGATGATATCTTTAGAACAACAACCAACTCTGAGTGAAGAGTTCCTTTTATTACTCCGAAAAGTCAGACTTAGACACAAAAATATCCTTATGTAATACGCTAATGCTTCCTTTTCCTATGCTCCTTGGGATTTAAAACGCCATCTCCTGAGCCGCGCGGTTGAATTCCAGCCCCATCCCTGGAACATGCGGGTCGTCTTTCCCTTGGCGAGGCAGCAGTGCTTGTGCAACCGTGAACTGAACCGTTCCCGAGACGCGATCAGGACGGGAGCCGACCTGGCATTGAAAAAGAACAACTTTTCAGCTGAATCAGCTCCCTGTGCAGGAGCTGAGGAGAAGCGATGGTGGGGACAAGGTAAGAGGCTATGGACGAGCGTCGCGCTGCTCTAGTTCACCCCATGCATGCTGTTACCCATGGGGAGCATGGGCCAGTTCCAGGTAGTTTGTCCTCATTTCTACAGCAAGACAGAAGCGTGCAGGTCAGATTTACCCCGCAGAAAGTGGTGCACGGGAGCTGGGTACCCCAGCTGCATGCAAGCACCCTTTCCTCTCTGTCAGACCATGGGAATTGAGCTCGGACTTCCGACTTCCCAGCACTGGGCCCTAAGGACTTGTTTTAGCCAGGTCTGCGGGGGATTGCACAGAAAATGCAATAGGCAATTTAAGATGCAGCTGTATTTGCTCCTACAATAGCTAAGGCTATGATTAGCTCACCTCCAAAGCACGTCTTCAGTTCAAACCGTATCTCAGTACAATTGAATTGAGTCCATCTTCATTTCCCCAGTTAAGAATGGGAACCAGGGCAGCGAGCATTAACTCAATAACTAACTCTGTAGCTTTTCCTCAAACATCTAATTTAGGCTACCCCCACCTTTCCAGTGTCAGCAATATGTCATGGAAAATCCTTTATCTGACCTATACTTAGCTGTATTTTATTTCTTCAAGTAAGCACCGTTTATGACAAGCCTCCAATGCACCCAGTGAAATCTGATGTTTGTTTGAGAGCCAACACAAATGCCTCTTAAGCTGTCGGTTTACAAGTGATTACAAAACAGTCTTTGGACAACTATCGTAATAGCTCTGCCAAGAGAAAATTCTTGAAGCATGAAGATGTCATTAACTAGGCTGGATGTTCACTGTACAGCAGCCAAAGGTTACTAAAAGTCTGTATTTATAGCCTCAGCAATTTCATCTGACAGTCTGTTGACTTGCCAGTTAACTTACGTTGGTCTCTCCCTTCTGAGCTTCCTAAGCTCAGAATTGTATCCTTGATTTTATTATCATTCCAGCGCCTATGACGGGAAAGATATATTTGTTCCCAGAGTGTTTATTTCCAGAAAACTTCTGTACTGAATATCATTCTCATTTCGGAGACTGCTTTACCACTACAGTCACCTGGCAACCAGCCACTACCAGCTCTGAGGCAACTGCGCAAATTAATCATTTAAAAAACCTGCATCGCTTCAATATCCTCATGTAACTACAACCAAAAAAAGTCTGTTCACTTGTGCTGTAAATAAGATTATTTTTAACTATACGCCTTAGCAAATAAATTTGCTTTGGATGTAAAGCTACGTGATTAGTCTCAACCCCGCTAGATGGCACCAGATGTTTATCTGTATTGATAGTTAAGTACATTTGTGTTAGTACTTAAAAATAACCAATTCGAGTAAGAATCATTTACTAGAGCGCCCAGGTTAAGTGCTGCAGTGATGGATAAGTGTTGGGCAAACCTCACTAATTCAGACGTGTGGAGTATTGGGGACAAGCGCGACCCTCTCACCGCGCTGAGGCCTCCTGCCCTGGCAGCAGCGAGGGGGAGGCCGGGCTGCGGCACCCAATTCTGACACAGCAGCTGCTTGCGGCCACTCAGGTACCTAAAAACTGCGAGGGGCGCTGGTTACGGCACCTCTACCCACACAGGGGCAAGAACCCAGGTGGTTTTGTTGCCAAGCACACTATTTCAGTATAATCTACTTCTTATTTTTTGTCTCTGCTCCTAGTATGACACAAGGCGGATTTTCAGTCCTAGGAAGAGGGCCGCGCAGACCGCAGCAGCAGCGCAGTTCCCCAGTGTTTTACACGCACACACGGGTTTAGCAGGGTATTTATTTGAACGGTAAGCAGGGCCGCGCCAGCCCCGCTCGCGCCGCCTCAACATGGCGCCCGCTGAGGCCCCCCCAAGGCCTCGTCCCGCCCCAGAGGCGGGAAAACAACCCCCGCCCCC